CACACACACCCCAGCCCTCTGCCCTGACCCCTGAAACACCCACGCCCAGGTCTGGGGTCCCGGCCGCAGGCCCTACTCAGCCCGCTGCCGGCCTAGGTGAACAGAACCCCAGGCTGGCAGCGAGCTGAGCAGGCTTGTGGCATAAGATCAGCATTTTAATTTAATTTTAAATGACGCTTCTTAAACATTTTGAAAACCTTGTTTACTTTACATACAATAGTTTAGTTATATAATATAGACTTATAGAAAGAGACCTTCTAAAAACGTTAAAATGCATTACCGGCATGCGAAACCTTAAATTAGAGTGAATAAATGAAGACTCGGCACACCACTTCTGAAAGGTTGCCTACCCCTGAACTATGCTATGGATATAATAACATTAAATGTCCACTGAAGGATAACTTCCACCCCCCCTCACTTTCTCTGAACAGGCTCATTTTGCATCAGCACTGACAGTAGTTTTTGTAAACTCCAAGTCATTATCATCCATCAAAATTGATGACACACCAGTTGATGATCCATCTTTGAAGGTTCTTGTTGCTAACAATAGCGATACTCTAAAACTGCTAAAAATGAGCAGCTGTCCTCATGTGTCACCTGCTGGTGAGTAGTAAATCTGTTAAAAAAGGAAGTAGTAATGCAATAGTTACTGTTGAGGATGCATTTCTGTTAACCTGTTTTCAGGTACTTAACATTTGGAATAAATTATTCTTCCACTTAAAATCTTTCATGCAAATTCTCAGTTCAAAGGTGGTACGTAAACCTTCCACTTGACTATTCTCAGTTGTCTAGAGCGTGGGAAAATGTCGTCTTTAATGTCAAGCATTTTTGGAGTAATCCAAGTGAAAGGAAAGCATCAGAATAGTATTTATATACCTTTCATATTACTTTATATTTTTCTGGTTTTATTCCTGTTTTTGTGATTCGTCCATGCTGTTTCAATCATTCTAATGCTTTGTTTTACTTCTGTAAAGAATTAAATTTTAGATTTAAAAAAAAAAAAAAAGATTTAAACCTTCCGTGCACTTAGCCCGACACGAAGGCAAGTACTTGTTTATATATAGCACTGTCTCTTTCTGTACCATAAGTATAAAGGGCATGACTCTTGCTGTGTGAAGAAATTTTGCTTGAAATAATGAAGTTGTAAGTATTAAAATTCATGAACTGCTCATAGCGTGCACAGTATTTTCTAAACTAATCAACTTCTGTTCCATAATATACTCAAGATAACACGAGCATGTACAGTACCTGTACCTCTGTTCATTGAAAAAACATAACTTTATGTGGCTTCATTGTCAAAATCAAGTAATGCAGTGCAAAAGAAGCTTGAATACAAATTTGTGGTGGGAAATTTAGATAACATTGAATTTCCTGAATTATGTAAGGTATTTACTCACATACTTTAAGGTCAGAAGGGACTATTATGATCTTCTAGTCTGACCTCCTGCACAATGCAGGCCACAGAATCTCACCCACCCACTCCTGTAACAAACCCCTGACCTATGTCTGAGCTATTGAAGTCCTCACCTTGTGGTTTAAAGACTTCAATGTGCAGAGAATCCTGCAGCAAGTGACCCGTGCCCCACGCTGCAGAGGAAGGCGAAAACCCCCCAGGGCCTCTGCCAATCTGCCCTGGAGGAAAATTCCTTCCCGATCCCAAATATGGCGATCAGCTAAACCCTGAGCTTACCCAGGAAAGAATTCTCTGTAGTAACTCAGATCCCATCCTATCTAGTGTCCCATCACAGGCCATTAGGCATATTTACCGCTAATAGTCAAAGATCAAATGGTCTGAGGTAAACAGGATGAAGTTTAACAAAGACAAATGCAAAGTGCTCCACTTAGGAAGGAGAAATCAGTTTCACACATACAGAATGGGAAGAGACTGTCTGGGAAGGAATACGGCAGAAAGGGATCTAGGGGTTATAGTGGACCACAAGCTAAATATGAATCAACAGTGTGATGCTGTTGCAAAAAAAGCAAACATGTTTTTAGGATGCATAAACAGGTGTGTTGTGAGCAAGACACGAGAAGTCATTCTTCTGCTCTCTACTCTGCTCTGGTTAGGCCTCAACTGGAGTATTGTGTCCAGTTCTGGGCACTACATTTCTAGAAAGATGTGGAGAAATTGGAGAGGGTCCAGAGAAGAGCAACGAGAATGATTAAAGGTCTTGAGAACTTGACCTATGAAGGAAGGCTGAAAGAATTGGGTTTGTTTAGTTTGGAAAAGAGAAGACAGAGAGGGGACATAATAGCAGTTTTCAGGTATCTAAAAGGGTGTCGTAAGGAGGAGGGAGAAAACGTGTTCACCTTAGCCTCTAAGGATAGAACAAGAAGCAATGGGCTTAAACTGCAGCAAGGGAGGTTTAGGTTGGACATTAGGAAAAAGTTCCTAACTGTCAGGGTGGTTAAACACTGGAATAAATTGCCTAGGGAGGTTGTGGAATCTCCATCTCTGGAGATATTTAAGAGTAGGTTAGATAAATGTCTATCAGGGATGGTCTAGACCGTATTTGGTCCTGCCATGAGGGCAGGGGACTGGACTCGATGACCTCTCGAGGTCCCTTCCTGTCCTAGAATCTATGAATCAATTAATTGCCAAAATTAAGCTATCCCATCATACCATCCCTTCCATAAACTTATCTGGCTTCAAGACTAAGCTTGATATGTCTTTTGCCTCCACTGCTCCCCTTGGAAGGCTATTCCAGAACTTCACTCCTCTGATGGTTAGAAACCTTCATCTAATTTCAAGTCTAAATGTTATGCATTTATGTGTGGTCATTATAACTTTATCAGTGACAAACTCTGCATATTCTGAGTCTAAAAACATCTTAAAGTGACTGAAAGAAGTTTGTGAGGCTCTGTTTTTCTCAACATAAATATTAAACGAGTTCAGTTGTGTACTGAGGCTTTTGAATGCCAGCTCAGTTGCAGTTTGCACAACTAAAAATCAAACTGCAATTTTAAATATCCTTACTAGTTAAAGCTTCTGTGGACCAAATTGTTCCCTTAGTAACAGATGTACAACTCGTTGTCTTCAGATTATGCCTCAGTAATACTTGTCCCTATTCATTACATTTAGAGGCTTTTTACAAGTATGACTGAATGAAATTTAGTAAGCAGTTCTGTTGGTATACAAATAGGCTAAAATTCAGTTCACTCTCTTACAGATGTAGCCACATTCTAGGAGTAACAGGAGTAAAAAGCAGTAGGGGGAAAATAATCACTAAAATAACCAGATATAAATGAACAAAAGAAGCAGAACTGTGGAGTAGGAAGATTTCATATTTATCTAGCCATTTTTCACAGAGCTTCATTTTATATTTTACACTAACTTTTTAAATCAAGAGATTTGTTTGACAGCATTTAGGGGTGCCATCAAATATGAACTATTGTAAAGCTGACAGCTTTAAACTTCCTCGAAACCTACAAAAACAACCCTTTCTATTATCATCCTTTTCTGGAAACATTAGACATTGTTCTGGGATATGGGTATGCTAAAAAGAATAACACATGGTTTAGTGGTTTGAATAAAATGTTTTAATTTAAACTAAGTATACAAATATATATTGTACTTTATAAAAAAAATATGCAAATTATGTATTTAAATTTTTTTGTCTTAGGAATTCTTTGTGTTGCTGACCAGTGTCATGGCCTTAGGGAACTGGCTTTGAATTATTACATACTAAGTGATGAACTGCTGCTGGCTCTTTCAAGTGAGAAACATGTTAACCTTGAACATCTTCGCATAGATGTTGTGAGTGAAAATCCTGGACAAATTGAATTTCATACTATTAAAAAGCAAAGTTGGGATGCACTTGTTAAGCACTCCCCCAAAGTCAATATTGTGATGTACTTCTTTTTATATGAAGAGGAATTTGATGCATTTTTCAGAGAAGAAACTCCTGTTACGCACCTTTACTTTGGTCGTGCAGTAAGCAAAGCCATGTTAGGTCGTATTGGAATGAACTGCCCCAGGTTGGTTGAATTGGTGGTGTGTGCTAATGGACTTCAGCCACTGGATGATGAACTCATTTGCATTGCTGAACGCTGTAAGAATCTAACAGCGATGGGCCTTGGTGAATGTGAGGTTACCTGCAGAGGTTTTATTGAGTTTGTAAAGATGTGTGGAGGGAGGCTCACCCAGCTTTCTATTATGGAGGAGGTACTAATTCCAGATAATGATTACAACCTGGATCAAATTCATTCAGAAGTCTCCAAACACCTTGGAAGAATGTGGTTCCCTGATATGATGCCTACCTGGTAAACCTAGCTATAGAAAGTATTACTATATGGTCAAAACTGGTTAGATCAAGATGTTGCTTGCTATGCAAATAAGAAATTATAAAATAAAGCATCAAAACTTAATTTTAAATTTCTCAAGTTTAATAAACTGCATATAGGCTAAAGCGAAGTGCTTGAGTGACAATGTTAGATTAAATTAGAAAGTAGAATCTCATATACTTAACAATAGATACATTGAAAGGATGTCTGGGTTAGAGATGTTTCATCCTCCAATTAAATTAAGCACATTCATTTGGCCTCTGTTAAATTAAATTGTTCCATTAAACACAGTTAGTACAAAGTTTTTAAGGTGTTCTATTATGTTAGTCTTTCTGATGTGGTTAAAGGGAGTCTGAAGCTAGATTGCTTGATAGGGAGTTAAATGGAACTTTCAGGTAAACTATTACTTGCAGTGTTTATCCACTTGTTCACTAATAATTTTTTGTTGAACATGTAGAAAAAATACTTTGTATCATAATAGCAATCTGAAATAGTGTAGCTAATTAAATCTGTTTTAATGTGCTTGTATACATGTGTTTGAATATTGTGGCAAATTAAGGACTTATGCCGCAATAAAGAAAAAGCTTTTGATTTTAACTTGCACTCTGTACTCAATTTTCACTTTATCAGCAAGTTATACCATAAAGATAGTGTTGTATAATTCATTGTTTCTCTTCCTATGTACTGACTTACCTGTACAGAAAAAAACAAACCTTGTTAAAATTGATGTACCTAATATTTCATGGTGTTTCAGTTCTTGGCTAAGCAGTGAAGCACTTGGTAACTGTATATAGGAAATAGTAGCTCTTTCATTTGAGAAGGTGTATGCTTTTATTTTTAAGACCATTTTTTTTTTTTTATCTTAAACACTAAACTGTCAGGATTCTGACCCATGCTCCCTTCACAAAGGGTCTATTAAGATGTCCCAAAATGGTCACAGTTGTATTCCTCTTCCTGGTGTAGGGATGGCTATGATATCTCAGCGACACTAGCACAGAAGTATGCTGGTAGGGCAGAGGGTGTGATTGGGGTGTACCACCTGGATCCAGTTATTTCCCCACCTGACATAAAATTAAAAGCTTAGAGCAACCCAAGGCTTTCCTAATGCCCCATTAAACCCTGGGAATTGGGGAGCCTCAGCTGTGCCTCGCAGAACTCTGCCCTAACCACTAAATCCTCCTATAGTGAGTGTCGGGGGCTGATCCTGTTTTCATTAAGTAAGCAAGACTTGCAACCTAAATGAGTGTCCTGCCTGTGTAAGGACTGTAGGATTGACTATCCGCACTAAAGAATCCTGTGTTCATTAAGTAAGCAAGACTTGCAACCTAAATGAGTGTCCTGCCTGTGTAAGGACTGTAGGATTGACTATCCGCACTAAAGAATCCTGTGCTGAAGGCAATCTTTCTTTTACTTGAAATGAGGTAAAGGTCATTAGTACAAAGTAGAACATGTGTGTTTGTTTTTTGTGATCCACTTTTATACACTAATGTAAATTGTAGTGCATTGTACCATAGTTTGTCTATCTACCTGCTTGTAGCAGCAAATCAGAGATGTGTGCATTTGGTTGATCTGTATTAGGTTTGTCACATCAAAGTAAAAGCCAAGTAGAGTCACTTCTTTCGTTAATCTAATTTCTTTGCTGTACAAATAATTTTGGGTTAAGTGTTGGCTAACTCCTCCATTCCCTCAAACAAAATGGTTTGAAAAGTTATACACAACATAAAATAAGAGATAATTTGGGTAAAACACACTGAATGTACTTGAATTGATCAATAGTGAGTTTTTACAAACTACACAAGACAAATATTGTAGAAGAGACTGTGTAATATCACTTGTTAACCAAGCAGTTCGTAAGTGGTAAATTTATATAATCTAAATTAGTTCCAAATATTATTTTGATGAGTATTTTTGTTTAAACTGTAAATTTAATAAACTGATCTAACCTGCCACTGATTTTGAAAATTTTTATATTGTTTTTAATGAAAGTAGTTAAAGGGCAACATTTTAGAATAAGTGACAGGTGAAGGTAAACATACATAGGAGTACAAATGGAAGGGAATCAGATTGGTTTTTTTTAGTTGGGGGGGGGAGGGGAGGTTAATAGTAGGGGAAGACTGTTTCTTTGTTAGTTAATATAACTGCATTATTATCTCAAATGTCAGCCTGGGTACATTCTCATCCTTAAAATTAACGACTTTATTTTCCTCATCTGTCATAGTTGTTCGGGGACTGGAAAGAGCTGACTTTCTCTCACTGTGGGGTTTTAGTCACCCTGTGCTTCCTCCTTTACTTACACTACAGCAGCTGGGAGTGCCTCAAATCCTGAAACTGAAAATAAATATATATATATTAAAATGGAGCTTGCTCAAAATTGAACCTTTGTTAACAATGCTATTTTATGCAGCATAGAAACGCCTATGATAGCAGTAAAAATTAATGCAAGTGTCTTAGTTACTTGTATATTTTTAAGTATTTTCTATAACCCTACTCCACTACCCCACCACCAAAAAAGTAACTAAAATACCTCAAGACTTTGCTTTTCCCTAAAACAAAACATGAAACCTTGTTTCAACTATAGGCTGCTCTAATAAAGGATTTGTAATTATTGCTGTTTTGAACTCTGATTTCAAGGGTGTGTAACATGATTGCTTTTTAACCCCACTGGCCTCAATCTGTCAGTTGGTTAGCTCACACATTTTTAATTAAAGATTAACAAAATTGGTTAAACAGATTTGCCTCCCCAAAAAAGCTGTTTTATGTACCTACATCTTTTTTAACACGGCATTTTTATCTTTTGAATTTCCCAGCAATCCAATGAAATAATAGTCCTGTATGTTTAAAAAAACTGCCCATGCTTGATTACATCATAAGGAAGCAGGCATACTCCTGTGGATATCGGAATAGTATGGTGGACCTGAGTTCTGTCTCTGGTGAACTCACTGACTTGCTGTCACCTTGAGCTAATGACTACCATTCTAGGGGTATGTCTGCACAGCAAAGAAAAGCCCCACGGCTGGCTCATGTCAGCTGACTTGGGCTCGAGCTGTGCGGCTGTTTCATTGCTGTGTAGACTTCTGGGCTGGAGCCTGGGCTCTGGGACCCTCCCACCTCAGAGTCCTAGAGCCTGGGCCTGAGCCCACGCCCAGAAGTCGACATAGCAATGAAACAGCACCATGGTATGGGCCAGCTGTGGGTTTTTCTTAGCTGTGTAGACATATCCTGGACTGCAGTTTCCCTATTTGTGAAATGAGGATAGTGCAACTGCAAAGAAGGAACAAGTGCTTTTAGATCTGTGAATGAAAAGTATCAAAACAAGTGTTTGGGAAGATCAGAGAACGTTTCCTATGTTAATAAATTCAAGAGATGGTTGTACCTTCTCTCCAGCAGGAAGAAAGGAGAGAAAAAAGGTCAGTTTTGACTGAAACTACTTGCAGTTTGGAATAGTAAGGGAACACATTTGTAATGGATTGTTGGATAGTTGCGATGATCAAACATGTATACATGCAGTTTATCAAATGGTTGTGCAGTGTGTTGCATGGACATCCTGATCATTATATTGGGCGTATCTCTCTGCACTCTGCTACAAGACAGTTTTTGTGGAGCTGAACATGCCCACTGAAGTATCCTTGTCTCAACAGTGAGATTAACTACCATATGTTAGTTGATCTATCCTAGATCTTTGTAACTGAAATACCTGATTGACCTTTCCTTGAGTGCCAAAGGAAAAAACCCTGTTGAATCGTATTTATCTTAGATACTGACCCCACAGCCAAAAGGGAGATATTGATCCTGATTTCTACTATTTGAGTTGCTTTTGGAGTTGAGGGGCGCACACACACACACACACACACACACACACCTATTTTTTTTATGAAGACTATTTTTAACTAAAAAATGTTGATTCTGAAATATGAATTAGTTTCCTATTTTAGGCCAAGATGGTGCTATACTTGCTTTCAACAATTAAAAAAAAAATTGTATTTCATAAAATGTCATACTGTATTTTTTTTTTAGTTAAAGATAATCATATCTTCCATAAGGAAAGAGTGTGCAGTTCCTGGTGGATTTATGGGAGGAGAGAAAGTTGGGCACCAATAAGATGGGAAGTCCCAGGGAGTCTAGTGGGAGGACAAAGGATATGCCGTCTAGAAGTAACAGATGATGATAGGCTACTGCAAAACAACAGGTAGGGTGTTAGGGGTTGCCAGACAGAGCCTGTTCTAAGGAATGTTATAGGAGAGCTAGGGATATGGTAGATGTAGCCGAGTTCAGAGTTTGGACAAGCATTAGAGCTTTTGAATATTTATCTACACTGAACTTCAGATCTTTTATCTTTCCCCTCTTCCGCCAAGAATCATAAGTTTTTACAGTGCTAGTATTGGTTTTCAGAGGGTTCCTACATACTTCCATGCTTTGTATTTCTACATTTTGGCTTTAGTAGGTATATTTAATTCTCTGCATAATTTTTTAAAAAAATCTTAATTTCACTTAGAATTATAAATGAACACAAAAAAACTTTGAATCCTGCTTTTAAATAAAAGCACACTACCCTCCCTTCATACCTGTATTCTTTTAGACCTGGAAATATCCAAAACTAGCCTGTTTTTCCCATGTATAATTTGAAAGTTGTTCTCTGATCCAAAAGAAACATTGAACTTGTAAAGTTCATTAAATAAAAATGTGGCTGGTAAAACTTTGCTAACCTATTAATGCAAAGTTTTAAATTTTGTAGATCCAAAGTAAATGTTGAAACACAGGTTGGTCAATTTACGGCATCAGCAGTAGTTCTGCTGTTCCTGAAAAAGCAGGATATTGTTGGATTGATGAATGTTGAGGTGTGATTGTGGACTATGAAAAACCTCTTGGCAGCTGTGTGAGTCCCACTCCTTCCTACAGGTCCTTCGGTGCTGCCTTTTTCTTTTTTTGGGGGGGGGGGGGGGGGAAAGAGATACAAGGCCTTTGCCTGCTCACAGCCAGCATCTACTTGGTCACAGTATGTACCTCTGTGGGATCTGTTTTCTTGCAAGGAAATGATTTGTCAGTTTTTCCCCCAGCATAATATTCAGATCCTATGAGGTTTGGGTGAAATAAAGTGTACTTTTTAAGGCACAGGGAAGAACCACTGGAACACACTGGATTTCTGTCCCATCTGACTTAGATTATATGTGGGAGACTTTATGGGCTATTCTGTACACTTCAGTTTAAAAGCAATATTATCATTCCTGTCCCATTACTGATGAGCTATTCCCTTAGACTCAACTGTTCTCTCTGCCTCTCGGAGGTGGCTCAGTAGAAACATCTGTCATCTACTTCAAGTCTGGCCCCTCCTATAAGCTCAATTCCCTCGAGTATTAAAGACAAAAAATCATTTCCCATTTCTTGAGTCACTCTACCTATTAATTTCACTAAAATGCATCATCTTGGTTAGACAGCTGGTTTCTTTAGGGTGTTACCTCAATTTACTTAGACACTGGTTGTTAAATCATGGTCACTGCAAATAGCATCTTGGTTTGACTTTTGTATGTTTCAGCAAATTAATCACCCTGCAATTTCATTTTTCCCTTAATGCCTTTTAATTGAATAGAGATTCTCCTGTATCTGTTATTACTGGGACTCATTTAGCAACGAAAACAGAGAGGTAACACTTTTCCTGTTTAAAAGTTCATATTGAGATAGTCTATGCACGCAGTGAAGAGAACAGTTCCTATTTTATGTATTAGACTAAGATCAAATAAAAACAAGTATTGATACCAAAAAGGTTGTAACTAGGCAAAGTGGTACTTCCGATATAGCTCATTGCTGAGCCTGAGATTACAATGTCTTGGGCAAATAATCATTGGTATGCTAAACTGATGGGTGACACACGGCTACTGTGCATATTGTGATGCTGGTAAGCAGGTGCCAGCTCACGCCAATGTCCCCGTGTCTCAATTGAACACTGGCAAATACATAGCTGGAATCAGGCTGGCTTACTTGTGTGTTAGTATTGTTGACAAAGGCATTAGAATTATAAGAATGTGTTTAGTGTTTAGACTTTATTGAATGCTTGTGAGTTGCTGCCTGCATTAATCTCACAATCTTTGTATCCTATTGTGACGTTCCCCTCTGGTGTTTTCCGGATCGGTGATCTGCTAGGTCACTCCAATCCTTGACTCTGGGAGCCAGCCTTACCCTGCTCTGCTGTGAGAACCCCCAGTCCTGGGCTGTTCACGCACAGCCTCTAGCACGTAAGCTGCTCCTTGGATTGTGCAACCGAATGACACTAGCCAATATCTCTGGTCCCAGACACAACCCTAGGAACCTCCGCCCTGCAGTGTCCAGTTATGCCTGCTGGATGCTGCAAGCTTATATGAGTTTGTCAATATAACAAAGACATTGATATGCACCAGGCTTGTTATCCCAAGGGGAGTCTCTGACACGCTTCAAACCAAAGCACTGCTTCATGTAGAATAAACACAGATTTATTAACTACAACGATAGATTTTAAGTGATTATAAGTCAAAGCATAATAAGTCTGATTTGGTCAAATGAAATAAAAGCAGATCGCATTCTAAGCTGATCTTAACACTTTCAATGCCCTTATAGACTTAGATGTTTCTCACCACAGGCTGGCTGGTTGGTTGCCCTTCAGCCAGGCTCTTCCCTTTGATCAGCGCTTCAGTCACTTGGTGGTGATGTCTGTAGATGGAGGTGGAAGAGAGAGGAACAGCATGGCAAACCTCTCTCCCTTTTATCATGTTCTTTCTTCCCTCTTGGCTTTGCGCCCTTCTCCCCCCTCCCTTTCAGAGTCAAGTGAGCATTACCTCAACGTAGTCCCTGTCTGACTAAGGGAAAGGGGGTGACTCACTCGAGAGTCCAACAGATCCTTTGTTGCTTCCTAGGCCAGTGTCCTTTGTTCCTGTGAGGCTGGGCTGGGTTTGTCTCATACATGCCCTGATGATGTGTGAACTGCCTCTCTGCTCTTGGAGAGTTTTTGCCTGAGCTTATTTTAAGCCATGAAGACACATTTTCAGCCTCATAACTATATACATGAAATTACAACCTATAACATCACTATAACAACAATGCTCAGTGCATCATGAGCCTTCCAAAGACACCCGACATGACAAACTTTGCATTAGATACCACACGATCATTTTATAAGGATGAACATGGGGGTGCAGGGTGTTCCCACGAGGTGCAGAACGTCACACCTATATTTATTTGAGAGGTTATATTGTGAGTCTCTGAGAGTATGTAAATCACCAGACAGAAGAGGGACATTAATTAAAGTGAAATACTGATCTGCAACGGATGGTGTTATGTCCTGCCCACCAGGAAAGGTCCATTGACACCGGATGTAGATAATGGGGCATTAAAGAGGACAAACTATGTGTGTTCTACCCTCCCCCATGAAGACGAGTCACATGAGTGGATTCCTCCTATCAGGAGTTTGCAGCTCAGGGCATGTGGCAGGAGAGATAAAAAACCTTAACATGAAGAAACTGATTAATCTCTATGCTTGGACTCGGAGGAAGCAGGGATGGGGATTTTCTAGGCATAAGCAAGAGATCCCCAGTTGCTTAGCCTGAGGCTAGGTCTACACTAGCGGGGGGGTCGACCTAAGATACGCAACTTCAGCTACGCAAATAGTGTAGCTGAAGTCGGTGTATCTTAGGTCGACTTACCTGGCCGTGAGGACGGCGGCGAGTTTACCGCTGCCGCTCCCCCCGTCGACTCCACTTCCACCTCTCGCCACGGTGGAGTTCCGGAGTCGACGGCAGAGCGATCGGGGATCAATTTTATCGTGTCTACATTAGACGTGATAAATCGATCCCTGATAGATCGATCACTATCCGGCGGGTAGTGTAGACATATCCTGAGTTAGCCCTAAAGGACATACAGAGCTTGCTGAATATAGAGGCTTCTATTGCCTTTTGAAACTTAAATGGTAACTCGTGTACATATGTTTACTTGCTTTAACCTTGTAAATAACACTCTAATTTACTTTTCCTAGTTAATGAATCTTTATATTCGTTGTCTTTGATGTGAGATCTAAGGTGCAATTGACCTGGGGTAAGTGACTGGTCCTTTGGAGCTAGGAGTAACCTGAATATTGCTGTGATTCTTGGTGTTAGTGGCCATGTATCACAAAAATATGCTCCCCTGGGTAGTGAGATAGATTGGCGTACACAAGTGGACTGTCTGTGACTCCATGGTTAGGCTGTTACAGTGCCTGAAGTGTTTCCACTTGATAATTGGTTGGTGAAATCTAAGGTGATGTCTACACTACCCCGGTAAGTCAACCTAAGTTACGCAGCTCCAGCTACGTGAATAACATAGCTGGAGTCCACATAACTTAGGTCGACTTACTGTGGTGTCTACCCCTCGCTAGGTCAACGGGAGACACTTTCCCGTTGACTTACCTTACTCTTCTCATTCCGGGTGGAGTATCGGGGTCGACCAGAGAGCGCTCTGCCATCGATTTAGCGGGTCTTTACTAGACATTCTAAATAAACCCCCAGTGCATCAATTGTCGGAGCGTTGATCCAGCGGTAGTGTAGACGTAGCCTAAGTATAGAACTCGCAATCAATTTGGGGTATGTGCCCTGTTTCTTAAGTCTGCCCTGAGGATGGTACATTCTTTGAGTTGCTACAGGCCGTGTTACACACGCTATGTACATGTTTACTCTGCTGTGTGCGCTAATGTCTTTTTTCCTTCCCATGGTCTAAATTTTTAGGTGGGGGATTGGGAAAAAAAAACCTCACTTTTGGTTGCTCAGATTTTATTTGCGGTTTTGTACACTTCCATTTCATGTAAGTTTCCATTTATAAGTTGCCAGTAGGGTTTGAGTAGTCACAGTTCTGGATGCGAACATGAGATATCATATCAGGATACACACTCTGCATTGGCATCATTACTCCAATTTTAGATCCCTTCCTGATCCAGCCTCTGCTTCTCAAAGGCCTGATAAAGGCCATTTTTATGCAAGAACCTTTAGGGGAGGATAAAGGAGAGAGATTAAGGAAGATATAAAAGTTCTGATAAGCATCAGATCCCCTTGGCTATGTCTACTCTGGCAGTTTTCAAGAAAATGCACTAGCACTGGTGCAGTCCAGACAGCAGCATACATAAAATTAAGATTTTCAGGGCTGGTATTTTTGAGGGATGGGGAAAAGATTTTTTTCTCCTTAAACTAACCATGGCATACTTCAAGCTCCTTGTTCTCATACTTCTTTCCCCTTTCTACAAGGTTGTCCTTACTTTAGGTCCTCATTTTGTTCCATCATCTAAGTGTGTGGAGAGCTATAGGGGGAAAAGGGTGTATTCTGGTCCTGTTGATGGAGACGTTGGACTGTTTTAAGAGTGAATGAGTTGTACTTGGATTTGAATACAGGAACAGATAGTTCTGAGTGAAACATGGGCCTTGGCCTACTCTATAGTTACGCTTTGCTTAACTTTTAACTTTTGTGTAGATTGTTCTTCTTCCATAGGGCTACAATTGCCTAGGAAGGTAAAATTATGTAATGACCAGTATTTAAAGACTTTTATCTATAGTAGCTCAGTTACCTGATTTTACTTCACGGAGTAAGATTCCATCATCAATGGCATTATTATTTCCAAAGGGCTTAATGCGTCTCACAATCAGGCCACTAAAAGGAGCATACACTCCTGATCCGTCATGGCATATAACGTCCACTGCTAGGTGCTTTCCGCCATTTCTGAAAATATGGACATATGTAAGTAATGACACTACTTATTGACATGTTCTCCAGCCCTAAAGCGGTCACCATGTACCATGTAGATTCTTTAAAGCAAAATGGACTATCCTTAGCTTATTTGCACTTAAAATTTGTATTTCTGCGATGGAAGTAGAAAAGTTTGAGGTTTCAATCTAGTTTTAATTATTGCAAAACTCTCAACTGCTAAGCAGAACTGGTCAAAAATGGATTTGATTATGGTTTTTTTTTTTTTTTTTTTTTTAAATGTTCACTTAATTTTTGTGCGTGGAATTTTCCCAGGTTTCTAAACAAAAAAACAAACTCCTAAACTGAAATATTTTCCTCTGTCAAAACTGGAAAAAAACAAAACAAAAAAAATCACACTTTGGAGATTTTGTTTCTCAGTGAAAATCCGGGGGGGGGAATCTATGAACAAAATGGAAATTTTCTTTTGCTAGTGTTGGGGGTGGGGCAAAGACGTCTTTCATTAAAACAAACAAAAATATTTTATGGAAAGTTGACCATCTCTGCTGCTAGCACCATGAAATTAGAGATATTAGCTGTCTGTCCACTCACATATGAGGCTAAAAAGAACACTTGAAGTGAGACCTCTCACTGGTGTAAATCCAATGAGGAACTTCATTGAAACTATCCTGATTTACACTGTCTGAGCATCTCACCCATGAGCTGGGAGATTGAGGTGACTCAGCTGGTTGGACGTGAGATTACAGACCATATCATTTTTTACTAACTGGTTCAGTTCCGCCCCAGATCTACAGCAACAGTCAACAGAAAAGTGAAATCATCTGGTCGTTCCAGACCAGATCCTAGTGGGCAAGTGTCCTGTCTCTATCACAAAAATAAACTGAAGTGGCACTAAAGTACGGTACTTTGGGACAATTGTTTGACAGCCTCATCAATGAAAGCCAATGAATGAATGAGCTTGGAGACAACTTCTACTCCCATTCTATCAGATGAGGACTACTGCACGTTGGAAGGACCTTCACACTGTTCTTGTTTAGTCAATTGCTTTGCAGTGTTATTCTGACACACTTCACAAGCCTTAAATGCTTGGAAAAGATGGCTAAGCTCACTAGTCTATTTTGTTCTTTATTAGCATTCTTATTATTTAAGCAACAACTAACAACCCAAAAAAAGCCATTACCAAAAACCCTGTGTCCAAATTATACTACCTTGGGGCTCCATAATATCCACAGCCATACTTATCACAGCCCCTTATGCTGTTCAAAGGATTCCCATCACAGATTTGTGCCCATTGTCCTGCAGCAACTTAAGAAGAAATGGAATATACAAAAGTAAGCACATTTTTTATTTTTGTACAGGACAGAATGTTGCATATTAAATGTTTTCTGTGCAAATAATTGATTAAAAATAAGAAATTGAAATTCATTAGTGATCTGTTAGTGTCACTTTCCAATACACATTGTGTGTCTTGCACAAAACAGTGGCTCTTTCTTTAACTTAGTGGAAGCAGAGTGATGTATTTTGTCTTAAGTGGAATACATAGTTCAGAAGACAAGACTTTGATTTTTTAGATAGAAGAATAACTAATGACACCAAGAAGTTTCTTTACAGACTCCTAAAAAGATTACCATGCTTCGCTGTTGCCTCCCTAAGTAACTTTTTGTTTTGTACAGCACTGGTACAATGGGATCCTGGTCCATTACTTAGGGCTACTAGCTGCTACCTCAATACAAATAATTAACTTAGGCTAAGGGTCAGATGCCTTCAGTGGAAATGTATTGATGTTAATCAAAGATATAAGGACCTGATTTAGCTCTGAAATACAAGAGTATATAATGGGGGACGCTATAGATGTTGGATTTTCATCATGCTGACCTTCAGAGAAGTGCTTCACAAAACATTTTATGGCTCTGTTTGCTCTCAACCCTAGTTTTTACAATGAGACTTTATCTGTGCTAGATTTTTCTTAAAATTTTCTACAGTTACTACCACTAGTGGAAACAGCAAAACAGCTAGTGTAGACTGATCACTGGTGTTCTAACCATCCTGTTATCTAACTTTGCCCTGGGCAGGTCTAGCCAACAAGTAGCACCCCCCTGATTCAACTACTGGAATTTCTCATGGGTTCACCAGTAAAATCAACTGTAAGAAATTTACAGAAAGACCTTGTGTGGACGAGGCTAGAGATTTTGGGGCTGATTCTGATCTCATTCTGGTTATAAATCAATTAAGTTAAACTGGAGTGAGATCAGAACTGTGTCATTTCTCTAAATCTCAAGAGTTTCTCAGTGTGATTTTCTCTAACAGAGTAGCTATTATGTTACAAAGATACATTAAAGATAATGGTAAAATCCTCTAGAAACAAAGCAAAGCTAATAACTTGGATGGTTGTATATACCTGTATTCTTATGTCTCAAAAACTAATTTAAATTCTTTAAACCACTTAGTGTGTCAAATCACTAACTCCATATCACTGACACACATTTTTTATTTTCTCAGATAATAGATTTTTAAAACATTGTATTTTACATTAACTCTTCATAAAATAAATACTTCAGGATAGATTTTCCTGCAAGAATATTTAGTTAATAGTAAACCTGATGCACTTCTATAAAAAGTCTGTTTTGAAATAAAAGCATCAAGAAAATATATGACATAGTAATCTTAACTTACCAATGGAAACCAAACCAGCAAAAACAATCAGTTTGAGTGTGAGCATTTTGCACCTGTTTCACCAGAGTTCTCTATCAAATCAAAGTTATAATGTATAGTCTCTCTGCGTGTCCTAGAAAGGCTGTTTGCCTTCCCAGCCAATCAGACTTGAGTAGAGTATTGAAACAATGTAAGGCAGAGATTAGGCAATTAAGATGTTAACAGAAAATACAACTGTTGAAAGTCAAGTGCAATAGTTACCTACTTGCTACATAAAATCAGACAAATGAAACAGCCTGAGAAATTGCACAGCTTTTGATGAGGTGCTGTAATTGTGCCAAGAGAGATGGGAGAAAGGGGAGTGGAACTCAGAAAATAGTGCCTATGCCCTGAGGGTCCATGAGAAATAGAACAGATGAGCCAAACCCAATTAATTACTTCGGGTCTTTCATGCATATCCAATGTCTTTACTGCTCCTATACCTGCTATTGGCTTTGCTTGAAATGTGTGTTCACTATAATCCTTTGAATAGGGTCACAAATAATATAGAAGAAAAAGTTAATGATGGGTGAGTTAGTATCAACTTACACTTAAAAACTCCATGAAAATTTTGCCGCTTCAGAGGGAGACATGCCAGTTGTAGTGGCAGCAGCTTCTTATCCCACTCAGCCAGCTGCTCATGTTTTCTAGCATGTAAACTGTGTGGAGCAGGTAGTGGTGACTGCATGGTGATGTGGGATAGTTACCTTTCCCCTCCATGTTCCCAGCCATTGTGCATTCTGTACTGTGCAGTATGTGCAACAAGTCCGCAAGTTACAATGAACACAAGCTATCAGTCTTGTAGTGAGAAAGTATATCTGTGCCTGAAGAAGCAATGGACCAGAAGTCGTAGGCCTTCCATGGAAAAGGCAATATTAGTCAGGATTGCACTTCAGGAATATTGGTGATTTCCTACCCCGCTGTTCTTGGTGTCTGTAGGGATGTAGGTCAATAGGTATTCCCTCAGCTATACTGGGGCTGAGTTATTTAAGCCTTTCATTGTGCTGCATACTTTTGCTGTTAACATTCATGAAATTAGAGAGATCCAGTGCAGGGCTTGGAGCATAGGGATCACCAACATTTGGTTTTTGGAGAGCAGGGCTCAAACTGTTGTTTTACCTTATTTTATGGCAGCTGTAATCTGCTGGTTGCTTTCAGAAGTAGCCCAAAATGGTATTTTACAGTCTGTCACTTTGTAGTTAGCTTCTCTGATAAACTGACATTCTTTGATTCCCTACTGCCAAGGATGATGTGAAAGAGAATTAATACATTGTGCTTTGAACTTTGTATAGTTCCTGACACAAGGAAGAAAGGAGAGCAGTAGAATACGGACCCTGGACTTCAGAAAAGCAGACTTTGACTCCCTCAGGGAACAGATGGGCAGGATCCCCTGGGAGAATAACATGAAGGGCAAAGGGGTCCAGGAGAGCTGGCTGTATTTGCAGGAACAAACCATCCCGATGTGTAGAAAGAATAGTAAATATGGCAGGCGACCAGCTTGGCTAAACAGTGAAATCCTTGCTGATCTTAAATGCAAAAAAGAAGCTTACAAGAAGTGGAAGATTGGACAAATGACCAGGGAGGAGTATAAAAATATTGCTCAGGCATGCAGGAGTGAAATCAGGAAGGCCAAATCACACTTGGAGTTGCAGCTAGCAAGAGATGTTACGAGTAACAAGAAGGGTTTCTTCAGGTATGTTAGCAACAAGAAGAAAGTCAAGGAAAGTGTGGGCCCCTTACTGAATGAGGGAGGCAACCTAGTGACCGAGGATGTGGAAAAAGCTAATGTACTCAATGATTTTTTTGCCTCTGTCTTCACGAACAAGGTCAGCTCCCAGGCTACTGCACTGAGCAGCACAGTATGGGGAGAAGGTGACCAGCCCTCTGTGGAGAAAGAAGTGGTTCAGGACTATTTAGAAAAACTGGACTTGCATCCAAGGGTGCTAAAGGAATTGGCGGATGAGATTGCAGAGCCATTAGCCATTATTTTTGAAAACTCATGGCGATCGGGGGAGGTCCCGGATGACTGGAAAAAGGCTAATGTAGTGCCCATCTTTAAAAAAGGGAAGAAGGAGGATCCAGGGAACTACAGGCCAGTCCTCCTCAGTCCCTGGAAAAATCATGGAACAGGTCCTCAAGGAATCAATTATGAAACACTTAGAGGAGAAGAAAGTGATCAGGAACAGTCAGCATGGATTCACCAAGGGGAAGTCATGCCTGACTAACCTAATTGCCTTCTATGATGAGATAACTGGCTCTGTGGATGAGGGGAAAGCGGTGGATGTGTTATTCCTTGACTTTAGCAAAGCTTTTGATACGGTCTCCCACAGTATTCTTGCCGCCAAGTTAAAGAAGTATGGGCTGGATGAATGGACTGTAAGGTGGATAGAAAGCTGGCTAGATCGTCGGGCTCAACGGGTAGTGATCAATGGCTCCATGTCTAGTTGGCAGCCGGTTTCAAGCGGAGTGCCCCAAGGGTCGGTCCTGGGGCCGGTTTTGTTTAATATCTTTATTAATGATCTGAAGGATGGTGTGGACTGCACTCTCAGCAAGTTTGCAGATGACACTAAACTGGGAGGCGTGGTAGATACACTAGAGGGTAGGGATCGGATACAGAGGGACCTAGACAAATTAGAGGATTGGGCCAAAAAAAACCTGATGAGGTTCAACAAGGACAAGTGTAGAGTCCTGCACTTAGGACGGAAGAATCCCATGCACTGCTACAGACTAGGGACCGAATGGCTGGGTAGCAGTTCTGCAGAAAAGGACCTAGGGGTCACAGTGGACGAGAAGCTGGATATGAGTCAACAGTGTGCTCTTGTTGCCAAGAAGGCTAATGGCATTTTGGGCTGTATAAGTAGGGGCATTGCCAGCAGATCGAGGAACGTGATCGTACCCCTTTAGTCGACATTGGTGAGGCCTCATCTGGAATACTGTGTCCAGTTTTGGGCCCCATACTACAAGAAAGATGTGGAAAAATTGGAAAAAGTCCAGCGGAGGGCAACTAAAATGATTAGGGGTCTGGAGCACATGACTTATGAGGAGAGGCTGAGGGAACTGAGATTGTTTAGTCTCCAGAAGAGAAGAATGAGGGGGGATTTGATAGCTGCTTTCAACTACCTGAAGGGGGGTTCCAAAGAGGATGGAGCTCGGCTGTTCTCAGTGGTGGCAGATGACAGAACAAGGAGCAATGGTCCCAAGTTGCAGTGGGGGAGGTCTAGGTTGGATATTAGGAAAAACTTTTTCACTAGGAGGGTGGTGAAGCACTGGAATGCGTTACCTAGGGAGGTGGTGGAGTCTCCTTCTTTGGAGATTTTTAAGGTCAGGCTTGACAAAGCCCTGGCTGGGATGATTTAGTTGGGAATTGGTCCTGCTTTGAGCAGGGGGTTGGACTAGATGACCTCCTGAGGTCCCTTCCAACCCTGATATTCTATGATTCTATGATTCTATAGTTATGAGAGAAAGAAATGTACTGCATTTACTTGCAGCGTTGTATCCATTTAGCAGTCATCTTTTGAGACCAACTGTAATTAGTAGCTGATGGAAAATTAAAAAGTCTTGTATTTATATAATATACAGGAGCTCAAAAAATTCTCCACCAGTCTGAAACAAAACTTATACAATGGCAGTCTAGTCACACTGAATGGACTAGCTTGACTTCATTGGCAATGAAGTCCACAATATGATCTTCAATATTTAATCTTAGAGACAACCAAAGAGAAATGGGGTAATGAGCTGGGTGCAGATCCTTAAAGTATTTAGGCCCTTAGCTGCCGTAGATTTCAGTGGGAATTAGGTGCCTAAATACATACCCATAGTGCAATGAAGGTAAATATAGTTGCTCAGCTTGCATAACAGAGGCATGTGGAAGGCGTATGGATACAGACTCTGAATGCTGTGCTCAGCTGCCTTACTGATTTAGGATCCTGAATCTCATTTTCAAAAGTGATTTAGGCAGTTAGGAGCCAAAATCCCATTGACAGTCTACTGGGATTCTCATGACAATGGATAGTGTGAAGGCAGCTACTATCTTTAGTATTTACTTAGTAGGAACCAAATTGTTTAGTGAGTCATTGTATAGAAGGGTATGCAGCCCCTTTGCACAGAGAGCATAATGCAGTTTTCAGTTCTGTGACTGTACCTGAAAAGTGTGTTGGCTAACCATAGAACAGGTAACTAGAGCTCAGTGTGCAATTGTGTATGACCACTAGAATAAGTCCGCGGTTTCTGTTTTATGTATTAGGATTTACTAGAATGATAAAATACTGAAAGAGAAATAACAACGAATTAAGAATAAACTAGATGTATTGATCTAAAATACAGAACTGAATAAGCTTTGTCTGAAAAACGTGTATAGCTTTACTAACAATTTCTTGTAGTCTCACTACAAACCAGCAGGCTGTGCTAGCGGATAGATTTGGTTGCAAGTCACTATTGGCAGTTCTGTAGCATGTATCTTCAAAGTATCTTCAAACCTCACTGTTATCACTCATGGATAAGCAGAAGACAAGGTCCTGTTCTGTTTCCCAATACTGATTTAAAATGGCTTCATTTGGAACTTCGTTAACCTCTTTAGATTATACTTTCAGGGACTGAGCCCAAATATCCCTCCCAGTACACAGACGCCCGCCCGAGTTATCCTCTAGATGCAAAGCTAATGACTTGGTTGGCTATATATACTCTAGTTTTCAGACCTATTAAGAGTAATTTAAAACAACCTTAACTTTGCAATTCTCATGGCATTTCTTTAAACCACATGAGTTATATTAGTCATGCCAAATAGTTGATAAAATATATGCACATGGATGCTTTATATTTTGTCAGTTAATAGGTCTTTTAAAATATTGTATTTTACATTAACTCTTCATAAACTAAATACATCAGGATGGATTTTGCTGCAAGAATATTTAGCTGATATTTAAGCTTCTGCTAAAAAGTCTGTTAAACCCTCATGAAAATACATTAAATAGTCAACTTACCAATGGGAACCTAGCCAAAAAACAGTCAGTATGTGTGTGAACATTTTGCAGCTGTTTTAGCAGAATTCTCTCATAAAATCAGCATTATAATATACTGTGTGTCTTTTGCTGTTTGTGTTCTAGAAAGGTTAAATCTGTCTGCCTACCCATTCACACATGAGTAGAGCTTTGAAACTATGTAAAGCAATTCTCAAATTAAGAAACTGGGATGTTAAGAGAAAATACAACTGTTGATATGTCCAGTTGTGAAAGGAACATGCAATAAGCCCCTTGCAACATAAAATCAGACGGAACTGGAACAACGGCCTGAAAAATTGCACAGCTCTTGAGCACCTGCAATTGCGACATGTCCTCCCAGCTACAATGGATAGGATCAAGAGAGGTGCAGAAAAGGGAAGGGTACCAAGAATATAGTGCCTAAGGCCTGAGGATCTGCAAGAAGTAGATCAGATGAGTCAAACCCAATAATGTATCCTGGGTCTTTTATGCACAACCAATATGTCTCTCTTGCTTTGCTGCTCCTATACCCACTATTGCCTTCCCTTGATGTGTGTGCTCATTGTAACTCTTCCAATGGGATCACAGAGAATGTAACAGGCAAAGTTAAATGCTGGGTGGATTAGTATAAACTTGCACTTAAAAATTCCATAGATATTCTGAGGCTTTCAGAGGGAAAATGCCATTATCCCGGCCTGCCAGGTGTTCTTCCTTTTCAGTGTTGCAGTGGCACTGACAAGTATACTGTGTGGAGCAGCTGGTGGTGGCTGCATGGTGATATCAGGTAATATTTCCTCTTTCCAATGCAGTGCTTGGAGCCTAGGGATCACCTATATGTGTTTGTTGGAAGAGCAGGGCTCAAGCTATTGTTCTACGTTGTTCCATGGCAGCAACCATCTGCTAGTGGTTTTCAAAAAGTAGCCCTAACTAATTTTTTTTCAGCCTGTCACTTTGTTAGCTTCTCTTTTTCATTTTCATTCTTGTTACTAGGGCAATAAAATAGATTGTTACTGGGCTTTTGTAGTTGTGGTATTCAGAAAGAAATGTGCTGTATTCATTTGCAGTGTTGTCTCTTTGTTTTCTTTTCAGAGACCAATTGTAATTAATAGCTGAGGGAAAATTACATATACTTGAAGCCACAACATTTTTAAAGAAAGACCTAATAAAAAATACCCTGCCTGTGTAACACTGACAGACCCCGTCGTAGGAGGGCAGGATTGAAGCTGGGACCTCTGGAGCTTAGTGCATGAGCTTCTACTACATGCACTAAAAGTCATATGCCTCTTAGCTAAGGCTGTAGCGCAGACTCATTAATCTCTCTCTCTAAGTGGTCTCGATACCACTAGATGGGACAGAACACCACACCCAGGAGGTGTGTGGGTTATCTGCATGAAACAAAACTGGCAGGATAGCAATGTAGTTTCACTAAATGGTCTAGCTTGACTTCGTTGGCAATGAAGTGCAAAATATGGTCTGTGCTATTTTATCTTAGAGACCATCAAAGAGGGCAGTGAGATCGTGTAATGGCCTTTGCTAATCATAAATAAAAGGAGTAGACGAGGAGCGTGTAAGGGGTGCACACTGACTGGCAGTTTTATTAGTTATAGGCTAGACATTCAGCTGGTCTATATTAGCATAGCTCATCAGAGTCACACCAGACAATCTATACTACATAATGTGACTAGAATGCCATCCTGCTGCTTTGATTTCAGCCCAGAGAGGAATTTTTTTGAGATCCTTCTTTACATATGTGGATAGTCAGTAGATCAACACCAATTTACAGCACCTGAGGATCTGGCCAATGAGGTCCTTCTTCACAGCCATTCATAAGAGTTTACCTTATTCTCTACTAGATGCAACATAACTTCCCAAGACCTACGCATCCACTTCACTGAAGGTATTTGATTTGATTTCCTAATAACAAGCCTCTAGTGTTTGTGAGGTTATTTAACAAATTACATCTTCTGTGGAGATTTAAACATTTTGAAGCGTGTATTGATTTTTACCTCATGATAGTAAGTCAAATGTGTTTAGTGTGGCACAGAAACTGATTCTGAGCACTACTTTTCTTCTGAGCTGTATTCAATGCTTTCCTAACCTGGTTTAAGAATTTAAAAAGCTGATTCCCATGAAAAGGGATGTTGTGAAGGCTTCTGTCTTTAGTAATTACACAGTAGGATCCTTATTATCTCTAGCAATAGATTTTATAGAAGGATTAAGTGCACCCCCGCACAGATAGCACAGTGTAAATTTTCAGTTCTGTACCTTAAAAGTGAATTGGTTTCATTAAAAAAAAAAAAAAAAAAAAAATTAGGGCTCAATTTCTAACCATGTGTATGACTACTAGAACAAGATTTAGTGAATTCTGTTTCATATATTAGGATTTATTAGAATGATAAAATACAGAAGGAGAAACAATAAGAAAAAATAAAACTCAAAATCCAACAAAAATAAAACTAAACTAAATGAAATTTGCAACAAAGAGTCCTGTGGCACCTTAAAGACTAACAGATGTATCGGAGCATAAGCTTTCGTGGGTGAATGCCCACTGGTCTGACGAAGTGGGCATTCACCCACGAAAGCTTATGCTCCAATACGTCTGTTAGTCTTTAAGGTGCCACAGGACTCTTAGTCTGGATCTGTAAAAAGCAACAAACACGGCTACCCCTCTGATAAATGAAATTTAACTCCAATATAGGACTAAATAAGCTGTATCCAAAAAGCTTGGATAGTTACACCAATTGCTTGTATTGTGGTTTTCACTAAGAACCAGTAGGCTTCCCTAGTTGATCAGTTTTCCAGCCTCTAGATTTGGTCACAAGTCACTTTGAAGCTATAATTTGTTTTGGAATTGTAAGTATTTGGCTTTATCATTGTTCTCAGGGAAGTATAATCAGAAGGCAAAGGCCTATTCTGATGCAAATATTGATTGTAAACTGCTCCAACTGTTAGCTTGGGAAAATCACTTCCCCATTCTAGGCTGCATGTTCCCTGTCTGTGAAATGGAGATAATGAAAGCACAAAGAAGGCTCAGGTGCTTTGAGATCGATGAATGACAAGTAGAAAAGCACGTGTGAGAGCACGTTCTCTAACCTTCCCTGAGCTAGTCAATGCAAGAGGTGGTTGTTGCTTCTCTAGAGCAGAAGAAATGAAAGAAACACATGGTAGTTTGACAGAAGCTGCTTGCAGCCTGGGAAAGAAGTCAGAGAACTTGTTGTTGATGTGGTATTGGGGTGTGTTGGCGGGAGGTTACTTAGGAAGGGGTCAGCTAAAGGGAAAGGGAGGGGGCTGAGTGGGACAGGGCAGGAGAGGAGAGGTGGGATGACCAGGTGTGGAGTGAAGGTAAGGTGAGGAGAGTGTGAGTGTAATTGCAGCACGTGTAGACATACCTAACCTAGCCTTGATCTAATTAGGTGAAGGAAAATGCATCCTTTTAAAGCATAGGGGAGAACCACTAGAACACACAGGATATAAATCCTGTCTGCCTGGCTTGGAGTGTAAGTGATTTTTATGGGCTACTCTATAAACTTCAGTTACAATGAAAAGATAATAGAAATATTACCCCTCTGTTCCCATTATGGATAAGCAGTCCTCTTAGACTCTACAAATCTCTCTGCCTTTCAGCTGAATAAAGAGGTTGTCCTGCTTCTCTTATTACCTGGACTCATTTAGAAATGCAAAAAGAGAGAGCACTTCTCTTCTTAAAGAGTTCACACCAAGAGTCCCTGCATGTAATGAAGAAATCGTAGTTTAGGTATTAGACAAAGATACAACATTAAAACGAGTATTCGTATCAAAAAAGGTTGCAATGGACAGGTTGGTATTTCTGGCATAGTTTATTGCAGAGCATGAGATTATAGTATCATAAGCACCAGCATGCCAAGCTGATAGACACATGGCTACTGTGACTGACATATACATTTCTCTTTTGCTGTATGTCTAAAACATCTTTTTGTTTCCCATGCACTATACTTTTGTAATGTAGCCTGTCTGGGGAGGTGGGAAAGTAATTTTACTTGGGACTTTGTACATTTCCATTTAATGTACGTTTCCGATTATAAATTGCGAGTGGGATTTGAGCGGTCACAGTTCTGGACGTGAACATGAGATGTTATACCAGGATATATGCTTTGCATTGGCAGCATTACTCCAATTTTTTGCCCCTTCTTGATCCGACCTCTGTATGTAACCGGGCTGATGTAGAACATATGTATGCAGAAACCTTGAGGAGAGGAGAGGAAAAACAAAAAGTTTTAGGGAGGGCAAAGAAAACATCAAAGTTGATCATCATCTGATCTCCTTGACTGGTTGTACTATGGCAATTTTTGGATTATCTTCCAATCTCGTACTGCCATTGGTGCTAGCAGTGCTGGCAGCACTTGTGCAGTCCAGCCAGCAGCATTCATGAAATTGGGATTACCAGGGCTTTTTGGGCATGGTGGGGGAGAAGAAGTGAAGATTTTTTTTTCTAGTCCCAAGCTATGGTATATTTCAAGCTCCCTCTTTTAATACTCCCTCCTCCAATTTTTCCTCTTTTCCTCACTCCAGATCCTCATTTTTCTCCCATTATCTAAGTGGGTGGAGAGGTATAGGGCAAAGGAGAGTGCTGCTGGTCTGTTGATGGAGACCTTGGCCTGTTAGGTTTCAAAGAGTGAATGAATTGTACTTGGATTCAAATACAGGAACAGACCGTTCTGAGAGAAACACGGGCCTTGGCCTACTCTATACAGTTATGCTTTGCTTAACTTTGTTTAGGTTGTGCATCTTCCATAGCTCTCCAGTTGGTTAAGAATGGAAGGTGAACTTATTTAATGACTAATATTTAAAGTTTATCAGAGATTTATCGATGTTCAGTTACCTGATCCACGAAGTTGGATGCCATTATTAATGGCATTATTCCTTCTATTGGGGTTTACTCGTCTCTCAATAGTGCCACTAAAAGGAGCATACACTGTTGATCCGTCTTTGCATATTACGTCCACCCCTAGGTGCCTTCTGCCAATTCTAAAAATGTGCAAGTAATGAGACAATGCTGATTTACATATTCATCAGAATTAAAGCCTGATACTAGATACACCATGTAGATTATTAGAGCAACAAAGGAGCTATGGCTACCATTGTTAGCTTTGTTGTGTTTCTGATTTGTATTTCTGCAATGGAGGTAGAAATCATTGAGGTTTCATTCCAGTTGTAGTAATTGTAAATCTCTCAATTCTTAAACCGAGCTGGTTAAAAATTCATTTCATTTTTTAAGAAAATTACTGAAAAAAAATTCAAATCTTCTATACTTTTTAAGTTTTCTTGGAATATACCAGCATTTCAAATATACAAAAAGAAAATATTCGCCCTGCCCCTCCACCTCCCATGCAGAGCAACAGCAACCTGAGAAACAGAAATGTTTTCCTGTGTTGGAAATGGATACTATAAATGATGTCTGAACTCAGAATTTTTGTTTTTAGTGAACATTTCATTATTTTAGCAACAGCAATGAAAAAACCCAAAACACCTGTTCCACACACAAAATTGTTCTCAGCATACTACATTGAAGTTCCGTAATGTCCACAGCCAAATCTGTCACAGCCCCTTATTTTGTTTGAAGGATTTCCAGCACATATCATTCCCCATGGTCCTGCAGCACCTGAAAAAGAAATGGAATATACAGAAGTGAAGGAATTTTTTTTAGCCTTAAACAGGACAGAAGTATTATCTATAAAATGATTGCTGTGCAACTAATGGGGATAATATAGGTGGACATTAAATTTAATTGGTAATCTGTGTTAAATGTGTCACTTTCTGATACATAGTGCTTGTGTGAGTCCCAAAAAACTAATGGTTCTGCATGTAATTGTTTTAATGTAAGCAGATTGGTGGGTTTTTTGACCAATTCAGATGTCAGCTTAGCTCAATGTGGGAGTCAAAAAACAAAAGTATATTCCTCTGTTGCTGCAAATTGAGAAGCTGTCTGATGGCAGCAGGAGAACCCACATAAATAACTTTTCTGCTTTTCCAGCTTTCCTAGCCCTGACGCTCAACACAGTTGACCCGCGGAGCTGGGGATTTGCAGCTTGCAAGAGTTCCCTTAATGATAGGTCAGAAGTGAGCAGCTGCAAGTCCCTGCTTCTATACAGCCTTCATCTAAACTTCCCTGGAGCCCATTCATGGACTTCAATAGACTCTTGATCAGGTTCTGTGCCAGGCTAAAAAGAAAAGTAAATTACTTGGGTGTATTGAGGAAAAGTGAACCTGTTGCCTCCTTTACTTGTTTTTGTGTGTTGATAAATGAAAATTACCAAAGAGTGGTGGAAATTTGACAGACATGTAGGAACAAAGGGCCCTGCTCCTAAAATCTCCTAATCTAGGAAAGATCTATATTCATCAGTAGATACTTATATCAATTGTATTGTTTGCATTGCTATTATATAGGCCTTACTCAGTTCTTTATTTAGAGACTGAAAACCCGGAACCCATAATTCAGAAGATTAGGGACTGTCACTTGGAAACTGTAATACTGTAGAAGATGCATTCCCCAGAGTACTATGCACTCCCTTTCTGTGTGTGGAAAGAATTATTTACATACAAGACAGTGCTTGAAGAGCCTGTGTGCTAGGTGGTGTCAGGTTCAGTCATCATGATGTTCCAAAGTGGGAAATTCTGAAAAGGTAACAGCAGCTTCAGAATTTCAACTTCAGTGGGACATAGGATGACCAGTTGAAAGACTGAAATCAATTCATGCTAAACTTGTAAGAGCGAATCCAGCAAAGGTTTCTTTTCCACGTGTATTATGTTAATTTTTAGGAAGAAAGGGCCACTCTACCTGTTTCACTTTCAATTTAGCATATAAATCTAAGTGGAAACAGGGTGGTTTTAAGACTTTCATGGCACCTGAATGTCAAACCATTGTAGAATTTGAAATATGTTCATTTCTAGCTAGAGGCAGAATTTTCTTTCACGGGAAATAAAATCCTTAAAACAAACCCTTGAGTGCTTCACAAAACCTCCTTTGGCTCTGGTTTCTCCCAGCTCTATTTTTCACAAAGAGGTATCATCTGTGCTAGATTTCTCTTTATATTTCCCATGGTTCTTTCCACTAGTGGCAGGAACAGTAAACCAGATAGTGTAGACCAGTTGCTAGTGCTTCTTCTAGCCTGTTATCTAACTCGTTCCTGGTGGATCCAGATGACAGGATGGTTAAAATTCCAATAGCAGCTGTTGTCTGGTTCAAACTCTCCTTCCCCTGAGTCCACCACTGATAGAGCTGCCCCAGTAGAATCAACACTAGGAAGTCTTAAGAAAAAGCCTACTGCAGACAAGGCCAGAGACTCTGAGCCTGATTCTGATCTCATTCTGGTTGTTATACGCAAAGTTACACTGGTGTAAGAGAGGACAGAATTAGGTCATATCTCTCCAAATCTTGAAGGTTAAATGCTCTATGTGACTTTTTCCAGTACAATAGCAATTGTATTACAAAGGCACAGCAAATGGTAAATTCCTCTAAATACCAAGCAAAGCTAATAACTTGGTTGGCTGTATATACTCTAGTTCTCAGATCTATTAAGAGTAATTTAAAACCACCTTAACTTTGCAATTCTCATGGCATTTCTTTAAACCACATAAAGAGTTATATTAGTCATGCCCAATAGTTGATCAAATAGATGCACATGGATGTTTTTTATATATTGTCAGTCAATAGTTCTTTTAAAATATCGTATGGTACATTAACTCTTCAGAAACTAAATACATCAGGATGGATTTTGATGCAAGAATATGTAGTTGATATTGAATCTTTTGCTAAAAAGTCTGTTTGAAAAAAGCCTCTCAAGACAAGGCATGAAATAGTAATCTTAACTTACCAATGGAAACCAAGGCAGCAAAAACAATCAGTTTGAGTGGGAACATGTTGCAGCTGTCGCACCAGAGTTCTCTGCTCCAGTCGAAGTTATAATGTACAGTGTCTGTGTGTTATTTATGTGTTCTAGAATAGCTTAGTCTGTGTGCCTGGCAAATCAGAGTTTAGAACTATGGAGGGCAGTATTCCCAGATTAGGCAACTGTGATGTTAAGAAAAAATATGACCGTTGATATGTCCAGTTGTGAAAGGCAAATGTAATAACTAGCCCCTTGCCACAAGGAACAACAGCCTGAAAACTTGCACAGCTCTTGAGCAGCTAGAGTTATGACATGTCCTCCCAGCAACATTGGATGAGACCAAGAGAGGTGCAGAAAAGGGAAAGGTACCAAGAACACATGCCCTAGACCCAGTGGATCCACAAGAAGTAGAGCAGATGAGCCTAACTCAATAAAATATTCTGGGTCTTTTATGCACAGCCAGAATGTGTCTCCTACTTTGCTGCTCCTATACCCACTATTGCCTTCCCTTGATGTGTGTGCTCTTTATGACTCTACCAATGGGATCACAGAGAATATAACAGGCAAAGTTAAATGCTGGGTGGATTAGTATAAACTAGCACTTAAGAAGTCCCTAGATATTCTGCAGTTTTCAGAGGGAAAATGCCATAATCCCAGCCCATCAGCCGTTCATCCTTTCCAGTAATGCACTGGCATGTGAATTGTGTGGAGCAGCTGGTAGTAGTTGCATGGTGATATCAGGTCATTAATTAGCTTTCTCTTTTCCCAGTGTACTGTTTGAAGTATTGGGATCGCCTGTATGTGATAGTTTGAAGAGCAGGCTGAAGCGATTTTCTATCGTGGTTCCTGGCAGCAGTTATCAGCTAATGGTTTTCAGAAAGTAGCTGTAAATAAATTTTATTTCACCGAGTCTGTGACTTTACTTTTAACTTCTGTCAAAGTCTAATTCATTTTTTTCCCCATTTACATTCTTGTTACTAGGAACTAGGGCAATCAAATAGATTGTTCTTGTGCTTTGTGTAGTTATGGGATTAAGAAAGAAACGTGCTGTATTGATTTGCAGTGTTCACTCTTTCTCTGTTTTCTTGTCAGAGACCAATTGTAATTAGCAGCTGAGGGAAAATTACATATACTTGAAGCCACAACATTTTTTTTTTTAAAGAAAGGCTATTAAAAAATCCTGCCTGCATGAAACAAAACTGGCAGGATGATAATGTAGTTCCACTAAATGGTCTAGCTTGGCTTCACTGGCAATGAAGTGCAAAATATGGTCTGCTCGGTTTTATTTTAGAGACCACCAAAGAGGGCATTTGGGTAGTGAGATGGTGTAATGAAAGGAAAGACATTTGCACATCATGAATAAAAAGTAGAAGAGGAGCATATAAGGGGTGCACATTGACTGGCACAGTTTTATTAGTCATAGGCCAGACACTCAGCTGGTATAGATTAGCATAGCTCATCAAAGTCAAAGATTTAATTTCTCTATAGGCTCTTAAATATTTTCATGCTTGCTTTTGTTCAATGTTTTAAATATTTTGGTTTTAGTAGGTGTTCTTTGAAAAAGGCGTTTTCTAATTAAAAATATAAATATCCCTCCCTTCTCACACCCATGCTCCAAACTACTTTGTTTTCTTCGTGTATAATTTGCCAGGTGATCTCTGGCCCAAAAGAAACATTTGAACTTGTAAAGTTTAATAAAAATGGGGTTAGTAAAATTTCACTAAATTTGGAGTTTTAAATGTTAGAAAGCAAAGGTAAACCTTTTGTTAGAAAGCAAAGGTAAGCACAAGTTAGTGCACTTCTGGCACTACCAATAGTTCGGCTGTTCCTTTAAAAGCAGGCCATTGTTGGACTGATGAATGTTGAGGTTTGACATAGTCTGAGAAATACCTTGGCAGCTCCCTGCTCCCCACTACCAACCCGTCCTTCAGTACTCGCTTCTTTGGAGGGAGAGATACCAGCCCTGTGCCTGCTTACAACCACTGCATAGTTGGGCATGGTGTGGGCCGCTATAGGATCTGCTTTCTTGTGGGACAACGTTCTCAAAAGTCTGTCAGTTTCCCCCCCCCCCCCAGTGTAACGTTCAGATCCAATTAGGTGCAGATGAAGTAAAATGCATCCTTTTAAAGCACAGGGGAGATATGCTAGAACACACAGGATATGAATTCTCTCTGCCACATATGGAGTGTTAGAGATTTTTATGGGCTATTCTATAAACTTCAGTTAAAATGAAAAGATAATAGAAATATTACCCCTCTCTTCCCATAAGCAATTCTCTTAGACTCTACTACTCTCTCTACCTTTGAACTGAATAAAGAGGTTGTCCTGCTTCTCTTATTACTTGGACTCATTTAGAAATGCAAAAAGAGAGAGCACTTCTCTTCTTAAAGAGTTCACATCAAGAGTCCCTGCATGTAATGAAGAGATCCTAGTTTACGTATTCGACAAAGATACAATATTAAAACGAATATCGATATAAAAAAGGTTGCGGATGGACAGGTTGGTTTGGCATAGTTTATTGCTGAGCACGAGATTACAATGTCATTGGCAAATAAGCACCAGCATGCTAAACTGCTTGTGAGACATGTGGCTAGCTATTGTGGCTGACATATGCATTTTTATTTTGCTGAATGTGTAAAATGTCTTTTCCTTTCCCATGGACTACATACAGTCTGTGGAGGAGGAGAAGAAATTTGCTTTTGTTTGCTTAGATGATTTTATTTGGGATTTTGTACATTTCCATTGAATGTACATTTTCGTTTATAAATTGCGAGTGGGATTTGAGCGGTTACAGTTCTGGACGTGAACATGGGATGTCATACCACGATATACTCTTTGCATTGGCAGCATTACTCCAATTTTTTGTCCCTTGTTGATCCGACCACTGTATCGAACTGGCCTGATGTAGAACATATGTATGCAGAAACCTTGAGGGTAGAGGAGGAAAAAAAAAATTAGGGGGGAGAAAAGAAACATCAAAGTTGATCATCATCTGATCGCCTTGGCTGGTTGAACTATGGAAATTTGAAGATTGTCTTCCAGTCTCATACTGCCATTGGTGCTAGCAGTGCCGGCAGCACTAGTGCAGTCCGGCCAACAGCATTTATGAAATTGGGATTATCGGGGCAATTTGTGGAGGGAGGAAAAAGGTGAAGAATTTTTTTCTTATGGACCCAAACTACAGTATATTTCAAGCTTCTTGTTTTCATGCTCCCCCTTCCCTTGCGCCCTTTTTCCTCTTTGTTTCCCTCACTTTAGATCCTCGTTGTTCTCCCATTTTCTAAGTGGGTGGAGAGGTATAGGGCAAAGGAGTGTGCTGCTGGTCCTGTTGATGGAGAACTTGGCCCGTTATGTTTTTAAGAGTGAATGAATTGTACTTGGATTTAAATACAGGACCAGACTCTTCTAAGTGAAACACAAGCCTTGGCCTACTCAATACAGTTCTTTTGCTTAAATTTGTTTAGGTTGTGCTTCTTCCATAGCTCTCCAGTTGGTTAAGAATGGAAGGTGAATGTATTTAATGACTAATATTTAAAGTTGATCAAAGATTTATATGTGATAGCTTCAGTTACCTGATCCACGGAGGAGGAGGCCATTATTAATGGCATTATTCTTGCTATAGGGGTTAACTCGTCCCCCAATTGTGCCACTAAAAGGTGCATACACTGTTGATCCGTCTCTGCATATTACGTCCACTCCCCGGTGCTTTTTTCCTCTACTTCTGAAAATGTGTAAATGTGCAAGTAATGAGACAATGCTGATTTACATATTCATTAGCCTTAAAGCCTGATACTAGATACACCATGTAGATCAGCGGTTCTCAATTTTTTTTTCCCCGCGGACCATGTGAAAATTGCTGAGGGTCTCGGCGGACCCCTTAATGATCTTTCCAAATGTTGTTTCTACCGTGAGCTAACTATTGTAAAGCACTTTGGATAAAAGCGCTATATTTTTAAAAACCCTTTATAATAATTAACATTTTTTTTGTTCTACAAATAAAAGCACACAACTCATATTTTAATATCAGTAATCTTACCTTTCTAATGCGATGGATGTGCCCTCTCTCCCCTGCCGCGGCAGCCCCTGAGCTGGGGCTGGGAAGGGGGGGTGTCTCTTCCTCTCCCCCCCACTGCAGCAGCCACAGAGCTGAGGCTGGGAAGCAGGGTCATCTCTCCCTGGCAGCCACAGCCCTGGAGCTGGAGAAAGTCGCCTCTTTCTCTGGCCGCCACAGCCCTGCACGTCCCAAATTTCCCCCCACCAACTCTTCTCACCCCATTGCTCCCTCCCACCTACCCCCTATTCCCCTGCAAGGCCACCACCTCACCTTACATATGCGTCTTCTCCAGGGTCCAGGCACCTAATTAGTGGAACCACGCCTGCGCGGCGCCACTAATTAGGAGGGTGGCCCTTCATTCTCTTGTGTGCGGCGCACCTTAGCGGGAACCCAGGGGCGCACCTTAGCCGGAACTATCCGCGGACCACCTGAATGCAGCTTGCGGACCACTGGTGGTCCACGGACCACAGTTTGAGAACCTCTGATGTAGATTTTTAAAGCAACACAGGGGCTACAGCTACCATTGTTAGTTTAGTTGTGTATTTTCTGCAATGACGATAGAAGAGTTTGAGGTTCCCAGTCCAGTTGTAATAATTGCAAATCTCTCTCCGTTCTCAATCAGAGCTCTCCCATTCTCAGTACCCCACCTTCCCCCCATTCTCAGTGTAATTCTATCATATAAGAGATTAATGCACATTGGAAGGACATTGCCACGGTTCATGTTCAGCGAATTGCCGAGCAGTGGTGTCCTTCTGACAGACTTCCGAAGCCGTGAGTGCTATAAATGATGGCTAAATTCAGAAGTTTTTGTTCTTAGTGAACATTTCATTATTTTAGCAACAATAATGAACAAACAAAACACCCGTTCCACACACACAGAAAAAGTGCTCTCAATATACTACCTTGGAGCGCCATAATATCCACAGCCAAATTTGTCACAGCCCCTTACTTTGTTCCTAGGATTCCCAGCACATATCTGTCCCCATGGTCCTGCAGCAACTTGAAAAGAAATGGAATATACAAAAGTGAAGCAAATTTTCTAGCCTTAAACAGGACAGAAATGTTTATATAAAATGTTTGCTGTGCAACTAATGGAGTTAATAAAGGTGGATGCTAGAATTTCATTAGAAATCTGTGTTATAATGTGTCCCTTTCCAATACACATTGCTTGTGTGACTCACAAACTAATGGCTATGCATTTCTTTGCTTTAATGTAAGCAAAATGGTTGTTTTTTTCTTTTAAGTCGAATACACTGTTCAGAAGAAAATGATTTTTGTGTGTGTGTGTGTGATAGGAATAACTGATCCTACCAACAAGTTTTCCTGACAGAACTCTAAAAGGGTTTATTGTGTTTGTACAGCACCTGGCACAGTGGGGTTCCTGGCCCATAACTAGGGCACCTAGGTGCTACTGCAATACAAATAGTGTACCGTAAGTGAGGCTAAGGATCAGACACTACCCTCCACCTTCAGTGCAAATTTATTGATGACAGTCAAGAATTTGAGGGCATTATTTCACTCTGAAGTAGAAGAGTGTACGCATATGGGGTTGTAGGATGCCATGGATGTTGGCTTTCTATTATGCCAATCTATTCAGATGTCAGTTTAGATCACTGACGGATTCAGAAAACAAAAGAATAGTCCTCTGTAGCTGCAAGTTGAGAATCTGCCAAGTGCAGCATGAGAGTTCACATAAATAACTTTTCTGCTTTTCCAGCTTTCCTAGCGCTGACGCTCAACACAGTTGACCCGCGGAGCTGGGGATTTGCAGCTTGCAAGAGTTCCATTAATGCTAGGTGAGAAGTGAGCAGCTGCAAGTCCCTGCTTCTATACAGCCTTCATCTAAACTTCCCTGGAGCCCATTCATGGACTTCAATGGACTCTAGATCAGGTTCTGTGCCAGGCCAAAAAGAAAAGCAAGTTACCTGAGTTTATTGAGGAAAAGTGAACCTATTGTCTTCTTCACTTGTTTATGTGTGTTGACAGAGGTAAAATTATCAAAGAGTGGTGTGAATTTGACACTCTTTCCTCTGTTCCTACAAAATCTCTTTATGTAGAAAAGCTCTATATTCATTGGTAGATACTTATATCAGTAGTGGTGTTTCCGTTGCTATTACACAGGCCTTGCTATTACACAGGCTGTCTATTTAGAGATGGAAAACCCAGAACCCAGAACTCAGAAGATTATGGAGAGTAACGGATGCATTCCTCAGAGTACTTTGCTCTCCCTTTCCCTGGTTGGTTTCTTCAATAGGATTATCTTTACAGGAGACATAGTCTCATGCTCCTGTAAGTGCTAGCTGGTGTCAGCCGCAGCCAGCACCATGTTCCAAAGCTGGGCATTCAGAGAACTGGTGCAGCTCTAAGCAGTAACAGGAGCCTCAGAAGTTCAACTTCAGTGGGAGGTAGGAGGCCTGGTTGACAGACTGGAATCAATACATGCTAAACTTGTAAAAGTGAGTCCCGGTATTATGTTGAACCCCAGCAAAGGTTTCTTTTCCATGTGTATTATGTTAATTTTGGGGAAGGAAGGGCTACTCAACATGCTGCAGTCTGAATTTAGCATATAAATCTACATGCAGTATAAACAGAGGAGTTTTTAGACTTTCATAGCATCTGGATATCAAAATAATATAGAACTTGAAATATGTTTTTTTTTCTTTCTAGCTAGGATAAGAATTTTCTTACATTGGAAATATGGTCCTTAGAACAAACCTTTGACTGCTTCACCAAACCTTCTTTGGCTCTGGTTTCTCCCAGCCCCAGTTTTCAAAAGAAGAGGCTCCATCTACGTTAGATTTCTCTTTATATTTCCCATGGTTATTTCCACTAGTGGTAGGAACAGCAGACCAGATGGTGTAGACCAGTCACTGGGCTTTTTCCATTCTATTATCTAATTCATCCAGGGTGGATCCAGATGACAGGATGGTTACAAAGGCTATAGCAACAGTTGTCTGGTTTAAACTCTCATTCCCCACCACTGAGTCTACAGAACGAGGAGTATTGGTCTCAAGTTGCAGTGGGGGAGGTCTAGGTTGGATATTAGGGAAAAACTTTTTCACTAGGAGGGTGGTGAAGCACTGGAATGGGTTACCTAGGGAGATGGTGGAATCTCCTTCCTTAGAGGTTTTTAGGTTCAGGCTTGACAAAGCCCTGGCTGGGAAGATTTAGTTGGGGATTGGTCCTGCTTTGAGCAGGGGATTGGACTGGATGACCTCCTGAGGTCCCTTCCAACCCTGATATTCTATGATTCTATACCACTGATGCAGCTGCCACAATAGAATCAACTCTATGAAGTCTTAAGTAGAAAAAGCCTAGTGCAGACAAGGTAGAGACTCTGGGCCTGATTCTGATCTCGTTCTGGTTGTAATACGTGAAATTACGCGGGTGTAAGGGAGGTCAGAATTAGGTCATATATCTCCAAACCTTGAAGATTCAATGCTCAATGTGACTTGTTGCTGTACAGTAGCAATTGCATTACAAAGGCACCTAGAAACCAAGCAAAGTTAGTAATTTGGTTGTTTGTATGTACTCTCGTTTTCAGACCTATTAAGAGTAATTTAAAACCACCTTAACTTTGCAATTTTCATGGCATTTCTTTAAATCACATAGTGAGTTATAGTAATCACACCAAATAGTTGATAAAATAGATGCACATGGGTGCTTTTTATATTATTAATCAATAGTTCATTAAAATATGATATGTTACAATAACTCTTCAAAAACTAAATAAATCAGGATGGATTTTGATGCAAGGATATTTAGCTGATATTCAAGCTTCTGCTAAAAAGTCTGTTAAACCCTCACGAAAATACATGAAATAGTAATCTTAACTTACCAATGGAAACCAAGGCAATAAAAACAATCACTTTGAGTGGGAACATGTTACAGCCGTTTCGCCAGAGTTCTCTGCTCGAGTTGAAGTTATGATGTACAGTGTCTGTGTGTTATTTATGTGTTCTGGAATGGCTTAGTCTGTGTGCCTGGCATATCGGAGTTTAGAACTATGGAGGGCAGTATTCACAGATTAGGCAACCTGGATGTTAAGAAAAAACATAACCACTGATATGTCCAGTTGTGAAATGTAGTAATTAGCCCCTTGCCACATAAAAACTGACGGAAATGGAACAACAGCCTGAGAAATTGCATAGCTCTTGGGCAGCCACAGTTGTGACATGTCTTCCCTGCTACATTTGATGAGATGAAGAGAACTGCAGAAAAGGGAAGGGTACCAAGAATACATTGCCTAGGCCCTGTGGATCCAAAGTAGAGAAGATGAACCAAACGTTGGGTCTTTTATGCATAACCAATATGTGTCTCTTACTTTGCAGCTCCTATACCCACTATTTCCTTCCCTTGATGTGCTCATTATAACCCTTCCAATGGGATCACAGAGAATGTAACAGGCAAAGTTAAATGCTGGGTGGATTAGTATAAACTCGCACTTAAAAATTCCATAGATGTTCTGAGGCTTTCAGAGGGAAAATGCCATTATCCCAGCCTGCCAGGTGTTCTTCCTTTCCAGTGGCGCAGTGGCACTGACAAGTATACTGTGTGGAGCAGCTGATGGTGGCTGCATGGTGATATGAAGTAATTAATTACCTTTCTCCTTTCCCAATGGAGTTCTTGAAGCATAGGGATCACCAAATGTGGTTGTTTGAAGAGCAGGGCTCAAGCTATTGTTCTACCTTATTCCGTGGCAGCAGCTATTAGCTGGTGGTTTTGAAAAGTAGCCCTAAAGAATTTTTTTTCACAATCTGTCACATTATTGTTAGCTTCTCTGATAGAACCAAAGAATTTGAGGTTTGTTTTTTTTTCATTTACGTTCTTATTATTAGGGCAATAAAATAGTTTATCCTTGAAGTTTGTGTAATTATGAGATTGAGAAAGACATGACCTGTATTTATTTGCAGTGTTGTCTCTGTCTCTATGCAAGAGTATTTCCTACCCGGCTCTTTAAGACAGGTTTCTATATCCTTTGTGCTTCCAGGACTGTGCAAAATGGCCAAGGATCTAGACCAGCCTTATTAATTGCATTATCTCTTTACTAGATGCTGTAAATGTAGGTAACAGGACAAGGTCCCTGACCCTGAGAGACTGTAGTTTAACAGACAACATAATTAGTGTGGGAAAGGGAGCACTGCATAACTGTGCAGCTGAATGAAAATGTTAAACACATATGTCTTGTAGCTGAATGTTAAGGTGGCTGTGGTAAATGTGACTGTTCTTTGACCATGGGTAAGTGTCTGACTCTAACAGTAACAGACTCTGTATGTCCTGAATCTAAAAACACATGATCAAAGTCACTTAAAAACAAAAGTTGGTGGGGCTCAAATACTAAATTTGTTCAACTGTGAAAGCTGTTTCTTAACCCCAGATCACAGGTGAAATTTGCAAACATGAAATTTAAACTGCAGTCTTGTATATCATCACCAGTTAAAAATCTGTAGGCCAGATTCTGCCCTGAGTTGGAAAGATACAACTCATGGTCACCAGATTATGCCTCAGTAATACTTGTTCTGTCCTTATTCAGTTCTGTTAGTGGCTTTTTATAAGTATGAGTGAATGAAACTTAGTAAACAGTTCTGTTGGTACACAAGTAGGCTAGAATTCAGTTCAGTCTCTTATAGGTAGCTGTCAGTCTAGGGCTAACAGGAGTAAAAAGCCCTGGTGGGAAATAATCACTGAAATAAGCAGTTCTGAAGAAGCCAAGGGAGCAGAATTGTGAAGTAAGAAGGTTGCATATTTACTTAGCCACTTTCCAAAGTAGAATTTCATTTTATATTTTGCACTACATTTTGTCATGAAGAGATTTGTTTGACAGCAGTTAGGGGTGTCATCAACTATTAACTGTTGTAAAGCTGAGAACTATTGACCTCATTGCAACCTCCAGAAACAACCCTTCATAGTTTTGAGGCATTTATTAATTTCATTTTTGGGGATTTATATTGAGCTGGTTTTGAGTTTTCAGTAGCTGCCCCAATATCAGGGTTTTTCAGAACTTTCTCTTTGTATAGACAATAATGAATAATGTGTGTCTGTGTGTGTGTATGTGTGTGTGTGTGTGTATGTACATTGCATTCTGTAGTGAGTAGTCTCTTTGTAATGTTCCCTAATGCATCTTAATTTAGTACTGTTTCAAAGAGTACTAAGTTAAAGCACAGAAGGGAACCTTTAGTGTGCACCAGCAGGGTCTACATGGACCAATTAATGTACAACATGTTAATGTGCTTTAGAAATCACACCCCATAATCCACCTTACATAGCTTTATGGAGACAAGCTCTTAGATCAAGTCACCTTTTCTGGTGTTTGCAGCCTGCATGTCCCTGCTGATGAAAGCCATGCTGGAGACCACCCGGTATGAGAGGTGTATGTTGGTGGAATCCCTCAGGAAGCAGGCAAGAAAGCTCTAGGAGGAGTTGGCTCATCTGCAGAGTTTGGGAGCACGAGGACTCCATTCACAGGACACACCTGGAAATATCTGGGGCGCAGGATGCTAGCCAACTATCAATGGCTACAGCGGCACCAGAGGAGGAAGGAGAACTTGTTGCTCTATGGGGAGGAGGTGGCTCTTGGTCACTTCAGGCAGTAGACAGTGCTCCACCCCCCACCCGGGTCCCCCATCCATCACAGTATGCTGCACCGGCAACAGGAGGTGAGGAGCAGATCCCAATGGATGAGGTCTGAAGGAAGTGTCATCTGCCCCCAAGGCTGTGGGAGGCTCACTGCCACCACACCCAAGAGGAGGAGGCTTAAGGTTCTGTTGGTTGGGGACTTCCTTGTGAGTGGGACACAGTCATTAATCTGCCGACCTGACATGATGTCTCAGGGAGGTATGTCGCCTTCCTGGAGCCCACAACGGAGATGTTATGGGAAGGTTGCTGAGGCTCAACTGTCCCTCTGACCACTGCCCTGTGCTTGTCATCCATGTAAGTGCTAATGATACTGTCAGGTATGACCCATATCAGATCATCAGTGACTACGGGGCTCTGGGAGTGAGGGTGAAGGAGTCAGGCACAGGTGGAATTCCAGCCCATCCTTTCTGTTGAGGATAAAGACCCAGGCAGGGATATGTGCATCCTGGAGATGAATGCATGGCTTCGCAGATGGTGTTGACAGAAGGGTTTTGGCTTCCTCAACCGTTGGATGCTGTTCTGGGAAGGAGCACTGCTGAGAAAAGATGGGGTCCACCTGACCAAGAAGGGGAAGAGCATCTTTGCGCCCTGACTCTCCGATCTAGTGAGGAGAGCTTTAAACTAGGTTCAAAGGGGGCAGGTGACAAAAGACCACAAGTAAGCATTAAAAAGGCAACCTTAACAGAGGGCTAGGTTTTGGGGGGGGGCATGGAAAATTACAATAGGGACATAAGAGCAACAAGAGGGAATCAGTGGGGGAAACTGCTCAGTATCTTAGATATCTATAGACTAATGCAGGGGTCGGCAATGTTTGGAACGCGGCTCGCCAGGGTAAGCACCCTAGTGGACCGGGCTAGTTTATTTACCTGCTGACGCAGCAGGTTTGGCCGATCGTGGCCCCCACTGGCTGCGGTTCACCGTCCCGGGCGAATAGGGGCGGCGGGAAGACGTGGCCAGCACATCCCTCACCCGCGCCGCTTCCCGCCACCCCCATTGGCCCAGGACGGCAAACCGCGGCCAGTGGGGGCCGCGATCGGCCGAACCTGCCGCGTCAGCAGGTAAATAGACTGGCCCGGCCCGCTAGGGTGCTTACCCTGGCGAGCCGCGTGCCAAACGTTGCCGACCCCTGGACTAATGTAAGGAGTATGGGTAATAAACAGGAACAACTAGAAGTATTATTACCGAAGCTAAATTAGCTTCTTAATTAGCTTCACAGAGACTTGGTGGGATAAATCTTGTGATTGGAATATTGGAATAAAGCAAGATAGCTTTTTTTAGGAAAGGCAGGCAGGGAATAAAGGGAGGAGGTGTTGCGTTACACATCAAGAATATGTACACTTGTTTTGAGGTCCAGAAGGAGGTGAGAGGCAGACCAGTTGAAAGTCTCTGGGTAAAGATAAAAGGGGGATGTTAGGGGTGATGTTATGGTAAGGGTCTGCACCAAATCAGAAAGAGGAGGTGGAGGAGGCATTTCTAAAGCAGATAATTAAAATATTGGAAACAAAAGACCTGGTAGTAATGGGGAATTTTAATTACTGAGGCATCTGTTGGAAAAATAATACAGCAAAACAAAATTTCCAATAATTTCTTGGAATGTATTGAAGATAACTTTCTGTTTTAGAAAGTGGAGGAAGTAACCAAGGAGACAGCCATTTTAGCCTTGATCCTTGACCAACAGGGAGGAATTGGTTGCGAATCTGAAGGTGGAAGGCAGTTTGGATGAAAGTGATAATTCAATGATAGATGTCATGATTCTAAGGAAGAGAAGGAGTGAAAACAGCAGAATAAGGACGGTCGCCTTTAAAAAATAATAATAATAAAAAAGGTAGGCCTTAGCAAACTCGGAAATCTGGACAGTAAGGTCCCACGGGAAGACAATCTGAAGGGACAAATGAGTTGAAGAAAGCAGGCAGTTTCTCAAGGAGATAATATTAAAGGAATAATTGCAAAGTACCCTGATGGAAAGGAAAGATAGAAGGAATAGGAAGAGGCCAATATGGCTTCATCAGGAGCTCTTTAATGACCTGAAAATCAAAAAGGAATCCTAGAAAAAGTGGAATCAATGCTAGCAAGGGATATAAAAGCAGTAAGGAAAGGTTCTTTAAATACATTAGGAGTAAGAGAAACATGAAAGAAACTATAGGCCTCTACTTAGCAAGGAATGAGAGCTAATAACTGACATCAAGAAGACTGAGGGGTTCAATACCTATAGTGCTTTAGTCTTCACTAAAAAGTTAATGGTGACCAG